AGAAGAGGAAGCTCTGAACTCTTGGCCTACCCGGCCACGCTAGAAGGCCTGCCCAGTCTTGTTCTCCTTTAAAGTGCCCTATATTTATAGAATTTCTAAATAAATATAATAAGATATTAGGTCACCCATAGTTTAAGCTACTCCGAGTAACAGCCGTCCAAGCCGATGGCATTGTGCCGGTCCTTGCTGTAGGGGCAGGGGCTGCCGTTTGGCCGCAGGCGGCGGTTTTGGCTGCAATGCCGCAGTTCTTGAGGAGGTTGAAGCTGAAAGAGCTGATGGCGTCTTTAGGTGGGAAAGGCTTCATGGTGGAGAGGATAAGTGCCAGGCAGTCGGCAACGTCCTTGTTGGGGGCGCATGCCAAGGCTGGGGTATGACCTAGAACGGAGCCGGGGGTGAGGACCCGCCCCGGACGGGCACCTGCCCCCGAGGACGCTTTGAGCGGGGCCGCTCCGAGCCCTGCGCTGAGGGGCCAGGACATCTGCCTGGCTTTATCCCAAAAGCTGCCGCTTCCGGGCACCGGCCATCCCCGCAACTGCGGCGACGGCTCTGAAGCGTGCCAGGATCAGCGGGAGACAAACGAAACGCCTCAGAAGCCCTGGCAGCGCGGCAGACGCAATGGTATTTTTCACGACTTAAAGGTATTCCAGCAGAGCAGGAACTCTGCTGGGAGAAAAAGCTTCTGGCCACAACCACCAGCTTCTGCCAACTTGCAAGTGAGTCAACAGCTCACGGCTGGCTCAGGCTGGGCTGGTTCTGTGCCCGGCAGGAGAGCCAGACAGGCCCCAGAAGATGCACGGGGGGTAAAAGACGTATTTCAAACACGTGTGGGACCTGGAAACGCTTTTGCAGCGGATTGCAGGTGCCAACATCCTCACCCGGCCCGTTCCTGCGATGCCACGAGCTGAGAACGCGCTGCTCAGCCACGGAAGGGACGCAGCAACCCTCCCGAGCCCGGCTGAGCCCTCCCCCAGGCGGCCCCCGGGGACACCACACCGAACCCCCGACCCCGGGCACCCGCGAGGAGCACGCACCTTCTTCATCCACAGCCAGCACAGTGGCACCTCTGCTGAGCAGGGCCTGGACGACGGAGGCCAGCCCGTTCCGAGCTGCGATGTGGAGAGGCCTGGGGGGAGGGAGGGCAGCGTGAACTCGTCAGGTGCCTTTGGCACCCTGTGCCGAGGCGAGGTGGCCCGCC